ATCTACATCCTAGAATATATTAGAAGTTTTTTACTTATTGACCTCCATGTTATGAACGCTCCAATATTTTTTACTTATTACAACTGTACATTTTGAATGCCTGGCATATGGATTTACCTCAAAGATACACATGTGTTTCCAGAGCTGTAGGTCAAGGCGTGGTGATGGTGCAGAGACACGGGCTTGAAGAAACCATGGGCCGTAAAACAAAGATATGAATAGATGGATTTGGATCATGCGTGCTCCGGGGGCATTTCATCACGCACGGTTCCTTGCTGTTGGCATCTACCTTTTGAAGTTGTCCCTCCTCGGTGATAGACTGCCCCAAGGTCTTGTGACACCAGCAATGATGATCTATCGATAGGATGGCTCTATTCATATCTTTGTTTTACGGCCCATGGTTTCTTCAAGCCTGTGTCTCTGCACCATCACCACGCCTTGACCTACAGCTCTGGAAACACATGTGTATCTTTGAGGTAAATCCATATGCCAGGCATTCAAAATGTACAGTTGTAATAAGTAAAAAATATTGGAGTGTTCATAACATGCAGGTCAATAAGTAAAAAACTTCTAATATATTCTAGGATGTAGATAATGAGATAGCCCAGGAAGTGAAATCCTCCATACTCAGACACCAATGGTACCTCACTGAATCCCTGGTAGTCTTTGCCCTGTTTGATGATGGCCTGGATGACATCACACGGGAAAGTATGGCAAGACATCTATTGGGAATCCAAAGACCAATTGTCTTCAACCCTGGGAAGCCAGATTTCCACACTGATTATACTCATTCAGCCCAACCAAGAACTTATTGACTTTTTAGGGCCAAGATCTTGGTTGTTATTTGATCTTACAAATGGGGATACAACTTGGCTCCATCTACCAATCAACCAGTGGGCTACACATCAAGGATATATTAAATTAGCAGCTATTGTGCATAATCTGTATGTGGTTAATGACGCTGCAGAGAGGAGCGTAAAAGACATACAAGACTACGCCAATGCTGCCCGTGATGGCACTGTGAGGGCTAGAATGATTCTGGTTTCCTCCTCTCATAGGGCCAAGATCCCTGCATTCCTAAAAAATGAAATGCAGAATAATCTGTAGACATTAGACATTGTTATTATAACATGTTAGATCATTTATGAGTACATGGGTGGAACTAATTCAGTGTAAACCATTATCTAAATGAATGCATGATCACCTTATAACCAGGACTCTAAAATATGGTTTACAGTGCTTAACCCTTGCAGTACCATTTATCTAATTGTTATTACCATCAGTATTACCAGTTTGATGGTGTTTAGTAGTTAGAGATAAGCTACCATATGAATAACAGTAAAAGAGCAAATAGTTTGTTTCAAAATGTGATATATTTGCGATTTTCGCTCAAATATTAGTAGGAAAAGGGTTAAATAATTAATGAACAAGGTATACTATGTTTTCAACTGTATGATAATACATAATGACCATAACCTAATGATTTTGACAAGGTTTCTGACATCCATCCTTCATAGTTTACCTTGTAAGGCTAGAAAATGACGTTTTTTGCCGTTTTTTACCAGTTTTCGCAAAAATGTCGGTAGGGGGGGGGGGGGGGGGGGGTCAAACGTCGATTTTAGGAACCGAAATTTTTTCAGCTTAAACTTTACTATCAAGAGCGCATCTGGTCTGAACTGCATCTTGCTAGCATGAAAAAGCCATATTCTGGAACACCCTACCCATATGCTCCTATGCTAGGAACACTACCCAGCACAAGGGGATACCCCATGGTTCAGAGAAGACCCGTATGCTCCAATGCTAGGAACACTGCTCGGCACAAGGGGATAACCCATGGTTCATAGAAGACCTGTATGCTCCAATGCTAGGAACACTGCCCAGCACAAGGGGGATACCCCATGGTTCAGAGAAGACCCGTATGCTCCAATGCTAGGAACACTGCCCAGCAGAAATGGGATACCAGAGGGTTCTGAGAAGACTCATATTTTCAATCTCATTGCTGATTGGTCATTTGACAAGGAGTGACATCAACAAATTTTCAAACCATCACATCAAGGCATTTAGAAACTATATGGTGGAAATTTAGACAAATGAAGTTGATAAACAAGATGAGTCATCTCTAAGCTCTGGGATTTTGTCTCCTCTTCTGCCCAGCATTGAAAACATGCATGAATTTGGTTCTTAAATAGAAAAGTAGATTATTGATTTTCGGTACATTATTGAGCAGAATATTGTAATGCATAGTTGACAATATATTAGCACAATGACATTGAGGCGTATGAACTGAAACCATGGTTAAAGTTTGGAAACAGAATAGGATACTTCTGATTAATATTATGAGAAAGAAAGAGGAAAACAGAGGACTTACTTTTTATATTACTAGTGATATCTCAAGAATAAAGACATTAGTGAATTTTGAATGAAACACACAATGTGCATTGATACCACTGTTTCATTAGGAAGTTGCAATAAAAAATGTGTGATATGTCACCATGACCTAGCAAATCACTCCCTTATGGCCAATTTATAAAATAAAAGGCGGCTTTGACATTAAACCATTGTTTACCAAAACAATGAATTTGAATGAATAATGTGTTCATGTTTGTTCAGATGAATATTATTGAAGCAAAAAAAATTATTGATAACGCAAAAAAATCAAGACCATGAATGATACAAGTGACCGATTTGATTATTCTAACTGCATACAACTATAAGAATGATAGTCTTGCACTGAGCCCTTGTAACTCCAAACATTAGGTCGGGATGGGGGAGGTCTAGAGGCCTGATACAAGACTTTTATGAAATGTTCACTGATGATCGGAATCTACCCAATAAAGCTTGAACAAAATCAGGTGATGATCAAATACATTCATATATCAATGATGACATCATTCTGGAATCCTGAGATAAAAATAATTTTCAAAGAATGATTTTCAACGTTTGGTATAATCCCTCTATTCCAAACGTCAATTGGAAAAAAATCTCTGACACGAATATGAAAGTGATGTATGTTTAGAAGTACCCAGTTCTGAATGCAATTAGCCTTAAGTAAGTTTAATGTGATTTCAACCTAATAAGTACCAGTATGCCTAACTATACCCTGAATCCCAGACCAGCAGTAAAATCCTAGCCTCTGAAAAGGATGTGTAAATGGATGACGATGTTAGCTTTAAATGAGTAGATAACAGTGTATTGTTGGTAAACCATCAAATTAGATTTTTTAATGCTACGTCAAAGGATCATTTCTTAATGAAAGAATCAAAAGGTGGAGATGAACATTTTCTTAAGAGATACAAAATCAAACTCTTTCGAAAGGGTACAAAACACCAATTTCTGAATCAATTTGATAAAGTGGGATGCAATGAGTGATAACAGATAATTGCAATCAATGTTTGCATATTAGGCCCAAGATAAGGAGTATGGATTATCATTAAGACCCCTTGACACAACATATTAGTTTATATGGATTATACCAAGACCCCTTCACATTACACAAATTACACAATGACTATTTATAAGTGAAACAGGTTTAAAATGAAAACCATTCACATTAAGTGCTATTCAATTCACACTAAGGGCTAGATGATGGCAATAGACTAGATGCGAGTAGAAATAATCTTGATTTACGTCATCAAAAATTCAAAATTCAGTCAAACTGATGTCATATTTGGAATCTACATGTAGAAATACATCTAGAAATGTGGTTTTGAAAAGAGTCTATCAACTTTGAAAATTTAATTTTCTTTGAAAATGTGACTTCTAGGTCGGGGGGATTCCCCATAGAGCCCATGTTGTAAAATCACAAAAAGTAAAATATCTTTTCTTGTGTTGGGCAGATAATATTTTCTTTTACTGGGCATATTTTAATTTGTATAACTATCAGATACAAAAGGGTAATATGAAAAGTGAATCACTACAACTGATGCATATTCAGGTTTAAGGGAATTTTGTAATACCCTGCCATGTTATTTCCCCCGACTCAGCCACCTGGTGGCGAAACTGGTAACTACCTACTCGCATCTGAGTAATTCCACAGAGCTGCAAATCCCAATTTATAAACAAATCTGAATAATTTTTGATATGGGAACAAAAAATTAATCGATTTGTTCAAACGATAATATGCATAAACCTGCAGAAGGATATAACATTAAACAATGGGTATATTGCAATGGTAAAAGAATAATACAACAGTGTGGCAGCTAAGGATATTTTCACTCTAGCCAAATTTGACCACTCACTTTGAATTCAGACTCGCCAAAATATTCTATGACTGGACATTTTTTTGTTAAATCGAGGCAATCCACAGAAAAGCTGGGAATCAGTAGAAAATGACCTACCTTTAAAGTTACCTTTAAAGTTAAGAGACATCGTGAATCAAATTTGCCGCTATTTTGCATACTACGTAAGCACTTTACAAGAAATGCGAACAAATAAAATATGATTTCAAAATTACATGTATGAAACGATCATACGATGACTCGTCTGGGTATTTGTAGGTCGTGAATGCTCAAACTTCTGATTAATACAGCAATAAGTTCCTCAATTACAGCGTTAATCAAATTATAAATAAAAATCGCAAGAAGATGAAATAATTATATTGGTTGAATTTATGGAACGGCAAGAATAATTTTGTTCGTAGTTCAAGCTGTATATTATGTATTGCATCGAACGCTTTGATTGATCCACCACTTAGTTTTAAGCCAATCAAAGGTGCGTTTTCATTGAATTGCGGTCCGGAACATAAAAATAAATAAAAAACTTTTTCCTACTTTTTCAAGTATTCTAGCGATTCTAGAGGTAAGATTGACAAACTATTTGTTTAGAAGGTTAAGCATATATCTGTTTCTCATGGGCTCAATTATCTATCGCCGAAATTGTCGAAACAAATTGCATTTTCATTCGCCCAAAATTTTTCTGACCCTTGTTTTGGCGTTTGGCGAGGCCTTAGCTGCCACCCTGTACAAATATGTTTTACTAAATTACTATTTTAAGTAGCTTACCAGAGCTGTAATTTGACCCGTTTTCCCTCCAACAAGATGGTAGTTGTCTTATAGTCAATACCTAAAATAAAAAAATTACAAAAATCATATATCGATTAGATCCTAATTTAAGATTAAGTTTAAAGTTAAGTATACTATATTCAATTCAAGCTGGTTTTTCTTAAAATCAACCAGGAAATAAACAGATTTTCAACTGTAAGGAAAGTAATAAATTTTAAATTCTTAATCAACACAGAGTCTAGTTAAACTACAAGATGAAGCTCTCTTTTAAGAAGCGAAGTCGAGCAAATGCAAAGGGTAGACTAGAACTGATCTTAAAACCAATAGTCAAGCATTTAACTTGAACAGCTCTCTTAACAAGATGAGTGAGCACTTTCTAAAATGGACAAATATAAGATTGGGAGCACCTTTTTATACACTCCCCTCCATAAGTTTGGCAACCTTTTTTCCCCCATTGAACTACGTGTTAAAGCCTCTTTACATTTGAATTTTTATTTACTTAACCTGCGATGAAAATACTTATACTATTGATGGAAACGTAATTTGACTTTAATTCCAATACCTCCAAATTTTCTCAATTTTTTTCCTCAATTACAATAGGTCGAAAATTGATGATAAATTTGATGAATTTTTGAAAATCAACATTCCCATGTTAACCAATGGGAAATGGTAGGTTTGCCACAAGTCATATGACACAATATCCATCCATCCGAGTCCTTGCAAAAAATACGAGTTAGGCAGGCAATTGAATTTGCTAACTTTATTTAACAAACAAGACACACAGTGATAAATATCGCACTTTGAAGAGCAAACTGGCCACCATGTAATTTAGCCAGCATGGCCAAAACCTAATCAGACCTTGGCACTAGTCTGCTCTTGCATCTGTAAACATTTCAAGTTGACAAGGTTAGTGGTTTTCCTGCAATTTTGATGACACAGAATTTATTTGTAGTGTTGAACTTTGGGAAAATTTAGATAACATTGTTTGTGACCTAATTTGATGACCTTCGACCTTGAAAATTTCACTTTTTCAGACCTCAGTAGGTGTTTTGTAATTAGCTGACCTAAATTTAAATCCAAAATATCAATTTAGAAAATCAAATTTTTGACCACCATGTAATTCAGCCAGCATACCCAAAACCTAATCAGATCTTGGCAATAGTCTGCTCTTGCATCTGTAAAAATTTCAAGTTTTCCTGGAATTTTGATGACAAGATTTGTTGAAAAATTCAAAATGGCCGCCACGTAGTTTACCCAGCATGCCCTTAACTTAATCAGATCTTGGTACTAGTCTGCTCTTGCATCTGTAAAAATTTCAAGTTGAACAGGTATGCAGTTATCCTGGAAATTTGATGACAAGATTTGGTTTATGTGCCGCCCGCCCGCACAACCGCACGCCCGCCCAACAGCACAAGACGACAACAATATAGCACAATTGTTTTTCAAAAAAACTCTCCCATTGAAATAACACAGGAGGCGAAAAATTATTTTCAAAAATGACTTTGAAGTGCTGTAACTTTAATATTCATCAAATAAACTAAACACTTAGTGTTCAAAAAAGTTAGACAATTCAATTTTCTATATAAAAATATTTTTTGCTGAATATTTTACTGAAAAGATATCCTAATTTCTGATTTGCTCCGAACCCTTCATTTCTCATTGGATTACATGGGAATGACGATTTTCAAAAATTCATCAAATTTATCATCAATTTTCGACCTATTGTAATTGAGGAAAAAAATTGAGAAAATTTGGAGGTATTGGAAATAAAGTCAAGTTACGTTTCTATTAATATTATAAGTTATTTCATCGCCGGTTAAGTAAATAAAAATTCAAACGTAAAGAAGCTTTAACACGTAGTTCAATGGGGGAAAAAGGTTGCCAAACTTATGGAGGGGAGTGTATATCCCATAAGCTCCAAATTAATCATTATCAAAAAACATTTTAAACTTTTTACTTGGTCCTAAGAGTATTCATTCTGGATATCAATTTTTGTATGTTCATATGCTTATTCTGTCCGAAAGTTCAAAAAAGTTTTTTATCTGTCCTATACATACTATTCATTATTAGACTAAGACAATTAAATTTATTTTCCAAATACTGCACAAAAATAACATTTTTATAATGATGTCTACCATCATAATTAAGAAAATGATAAATAGATTAACTTGTAAAAACATATTTCAAAATAACTCTCCAATTACCCAAATTGTTATATTATTATTATCATGCAATATAATTAATGCAGATTAGAGTGACTCAGGCTGAACAATGACTATCTTTTACAAACTAATTAACAATCTGCAACCAAATAGAGTATAAATGGCACATGAAACAGTATAATCTAATAAATCAATAGTTGATTCGATATGGTTTCTTTCAACATCTGAACTTTTGACCAAGCAGGAAATGAGTTGAATAAAAATATTTGATTAAACCAATTGTTCTTACAAGCTGCAACATAAATCCTGATTTGCAATCATGGATAAGACTTTTGAAAACAATCTGAGGGCTGTTAGATTTAAGCATATTTTCTCTTTAGCGAACTTCTGTTACTGAATCGTTATTTCACAAATTAATCTAGTTAACTCGCTCTCTTCTGTCTAACACCCCCCCCCAACACCCCCAAACCCTCTATGAATATAACTAACCAGTGGTCACTCTTCGCATTACGCATTAGAACATGAGAGATATCTTGATAAAATAGGGAAAATTAAGATTAATGGATCTGGGGAAATCCTTACCCTTGTTGAGATAAACTTAAAGCAAAAGTACATAATCATAACATAAACTAGAAATACTCTCAGTTATCACACGTTTCAGCATGTGATACAGGATATATTCCACGAAAGGTAATACAACAGTATCATCCACGAAAGCGCACAAAGCTTAAGTGGTGATACACTGTTACCCGAGTGGAATATTTCCTGTATAACATAAGCTGAAACGTGTGATGACAATTTTATCACATTAGAGGAATTTTGAAGCATTTGATTTGGTCATTAAGATTGTGTTCAGTACTCCTGATAACTACAGAGTGTCTCAAAAAAAATGTTACACTTACAAAAAGTTCAATATCTTTCATAATTTTGACTTTTCCCCTAAAATATCTTTGGATACCAAAAGACAAATCTTTCCCGAATAATTTGACACCATCAGATTCAAAATCGGTCCTTGATTGGCTCCACAGGACACCTTTTAGTGTCCCATAGTAAAATCTGACTTGCGCCAACTTCTAAGTGATTGGATTGACCAAATGACAAAAGAGGAACAGTTTCTTTAACATTTAACTTTCTTCTGAGCAGAAGCTTGACCTTTAACTGAGTCATTCTGTAATTTTCCTACTTGTCTTACATATGGTCATTGGGTCTATTCACATAAACATGCGGTCCCCTCAACATGTTGAATGTGAAAGCAAATCTAAGAATCTGAGGTACCCTTGCCCATGCGAACATGCATTGTAATATCACACGGATTCCATCAATTATTTTTGTAGAAGTTCATTTAGGTTAGTTTGTGATGCTGTAAAGTGCTTTCAGAGGCCCTTCAAAAAATCAAGGGTGTAAAGTGGGATGACCCTGGGGGCCAATCAATTAGGTAATTCAATGCTATCGTCTGATTTCCAAAGAGTTCTACCAAACGATCTGCCACAGGCCTTTGCACCATCCTGTTGCAATCATACGTAACGAAATTGAACCTTTGACAATGAAATGTTGTATTTCTATCCAGGAAAGAAACAACTGGATCATTGCATTCACAGCATTTACTCCACAGCATTCACACCAAAAAAGAATTGATCACCACATGTCTGACCACTGAGAAGTCGGCGCAAATCAGATTTCACATGCGTCTATAAAATCTGTCCTGTGCAACCAATCATGGACGGATTTTGAATCAGATGGTGTGGATTTATTCGAGAAAGAATCGTCTTTTGGTAACTAAGTATATTTTAGGGGAAAAGTCAAAATCATGAATGATATTGAACTTTTTGTAAGTGTAACATTTTTTTTGAGACACACTGTATTATAATTTTTGTTTTTTTTATGAAATTTTGCTTGGCAATGATATGACGTCATAACGTTATATTTGTACTTGCTTGTGAAATACTATAATGTCATACTGTTTTCTTTAAAATTATGATATGTCATCAGTAATGAGTAATTTCTGACAACTGTAAATAATGAAAACTTTAACCAAAAAACTTTATCCAATTAAATTTATCACTATCTTTGAAAACAGACCGATATTAAATTCACTTAAAATCCTCCACATAACATTTCACTTTTTTAATTTGTTAAAACAATCTGAAATTTTAACCCCCTCTTCTGGTTTATAGTTTGAAAGGTAACGTGACAACCATTAAGTTCAGTCCCCATTTAAAACTTCTTCTATGAGTTGAATGAAGAGTGTTATTCTGTCTTTTATCAATCTTCATCCTTGAAACAATTATTGTCTCTCTTTTATATATAAATTGAACATTTTTAAGAGTTAAAAATGTGGATGTTGTGCTTTTGTCAATAGATGGCATCAATTCGTAGCAGCAATGAGCACCTGAAAGCCAACCAATCAGAATGTCGGAATCGCCGAATTCTTTGAACTACTTTTCTATGCCAAATTGCTATTTCATATATTCTTTGACTGCTAATCACCTAGTCCAGTTAAGGTGCCATGGAAGTTAACAGGAAATGACAAAACAGGAAGTGACAAAGCCATGCTGGATTTTGAAAATTTTTTGAGGCAAGATATCAGAGTCCTGTTTGGACCTCTAGTCAGTTTTACTAGTTCCACATATCATTTACATGACTGGGAACACAATGGAAATGGTCAGAATGACCATAAAAATGATGAAATAACCTTTTCAGCCCTCTGAAAATGTGACTGAAAAATAGCTAAAAGTAGGTGCTCAGGAAAGGTCACTGAACAGAATCTTTCGATTTTTTCAGAAAACGTGTCCAATATATTGCTCATAATGATACAATCTTTGAAATTTTAAAAAATTTTCTGAAACAATAATGGCTGAAGTAAAAAGGTAAATCGATCGATTTTCAATTCAGTTTTTTT